AAATCCAAAACTAGCAGCAGGAACAACCAGGATGTCAAATTTTTATCCACTAGAAGTTTTTGCACGTTCTCTCTAGAAAAGAAATTGAGTTACACAAATTCCTAAAGCCTTGAGACTTTTTAAAGATTGATTGAACTTTGAAGATAACCCTGATTTGATTTGAGGCTTGGACCAGGGGCTCTTCCAGGCTAAGTAGTTCTGTGATTCTGAGATTTTATATGCTGCTCAAACATTGCCAAATTTGCTGTGCAAATGTGGGTTCTTTGATGAGCACTTGGATCCACTGAAACTTCATCATGACCTGAGTTACTTTCATTAAAATCCATTGTAAGTTCCATTGAGTGCCATTACTTACCTACTACCTTAAATCTGTTGTAAATCTCAGGGGACAACTGTGTCGAGAGTTCTGCCAAATTCTTAAGAGCTTCAGAAATAGAGATGAATTTTCACTTATTTTCTATATTTGCCCCTATCCTCAGGCTTGGAGCCCTTGTTCTCTGGGAAGGTTTTGTGCAGTTTAACAATGATCAGTGTATAACCACAGAAGTTTGGCTTGAGTTTGTGTCAAAAGTCGAAAAATTACTTTTGATGAACTTGCAGAGCTTAAACATCTTGACTCTTGCTGCCCTGATGAGGATAGAGCCCACTGAGAGATGCACACAGGGAGAATGAAAAAAGAAGAATGTATTCTTGCTGCATGTTTTTGTGACATCTATTAGGACAGAGTACAAAGGGTTTCCATTAGCCCTTGGATTGTTTCCCACTGTAGTCCTACCCTTCCACATGTTCAGTCACAAAAGGAAAGGCACATTTTGCACCAGCCTAGGAAGCAGCTTTGGCTCAGATACAGCTCAAACCCAAGAAAGGGACAAGTTACATAAGTGACAACAACAGAACTCCACAGCCAAAGCGGGATGGGATTGAAAAATAGCAGCTACTGCAACCACTTTTGATCTCTGCTTTCCCTGGATCAGATGCCAGGTGTTGTTTTCTTGTAGAACCAGGAAGCTGTAAATATTGGTTTACAAATCAAACATGTGGTGATGGAAGGTGGAAGCAGTGGGGAATGTGGTATTGAGCTACAGAAACGAGAGATTGGGCTGCTGAGCTGCACCCTTTGGTGACTCTGCCTATAAATTCTGGTGTCTTCCTGCAACAGGAGCTCCAAGGAGATGGCTGCCACCAGGATCTTGTCTTGGCTGGTGATGATAATTCTTCACATTCAGGTGGATGCAGGTAAAGAGCCTCACTTCTGATCACCTTTGTAGCTATATTTCACCTTGGGCTAATGTCAAGATTTAAGAGTAAAAGAGGATTTACCAACATGGCTCAGCTCTTTTGTAAACCACAAACAGGTCAAACCTATGAGCTGAGCAAATCAATGTTATCAAATCTGCTTAATGAGCTTAATTTTTTTTCCTGTCATTTTACATAAAAAGCCTAGTAAAGGAAATTAAAATGAATATACTGTAAAGCCAATGATAGTATTTTCTGATCCTTTATATTAGGATAATGGATTTAAAGACTAGTAAGTATTTTCTGGACTAAATACATGTTTATTTTAAAGAAGGTGAGGTGTACGAAGCGTGGGGTTTGTTTTGATTAGGTACATTGTTATATCTAACCCTCTGGTGTTTAATAACAGAGTGCCTTAGATAAAACAAGTATGGCACATATTCCTGTCCCCATTCTTATTATAATGATTAGATTATAATGGAAATTACTGTAATTTTTTATTAGTCTAATTTCTCATAGGCTAATTCCTATGTTAGGAGTTTAATTTAATTTGGTTGCAGTGTCAATGGTCTGCCCAGCCACTTTCATCCCTTTAGGGACCAATACAAATATTGGTGGGTCTGATGGGAGGGGGGATATTTGGAACAGGGTGAAATAGGCCTTTTTGCATCCAAAAACCACTTTCCTCCTTCCCAGGTGAGACTTCCCTGACTGAGCAGGGTGCCAGCCTGGTGCTGGGAGAGACAAGACCTTTCATTTTAAGCAGCTGCTGTTATGTCCTCTATGCAGGGATGGAAAAACATCAAAAGTGTTGCCACAGCTGCTGTCTTTCCAACTCTTTCTCTTTCAGGTGTAAAGTTCTGGAATGAACTTGCCTTGAACCAATGAACTAAAAGCAAACCTGCTTTCCCTTTCCATGGTCCCACACACCCCCTCACACACAGCAGAAAGAAAGAGCACTCAGGGCCATTTCCAGACTGAGTTTTTAATGCCCCCATTATTTTCTCCCTCCATAAATATTTGAGGTGCAGTTAGTGCTACTGAAAACTGCTGATGTTCAGCTGGAAAATACTGAGTTGCTGTTTAACCCTTTCATTACCCATCCAGCTAATTTAGAATTTAAAGCTTTGCATGCATGAGGAGCAGTGTGGTGGGATATGTTGGAAAGTTTCATAATATCTGAATAAATTACACTTGTCCCTGGCAGAGCCTTCTGCATCCAGAAATGATGGCAGTGATGTTAGTGAGGGTGTATTCCCACCTCTCAGGCTGTCCACAGAGCAGGATTTATCCCAAACAACAGCTGAAGCTAATCCATTCCCTTGCCAATCCACTGACATCCCTTTGCCAGTGACACCAGGGGATCCTGTGCATGCAAACAGGATCCTTATTACTTAATTCATGTAATGTTCCTTCAACATGTTTTTTCCTTGTTTTTTTTCCTGTGTTGATGCTAGCAGATTCTCCAGCAAAAATACCTCTAACAGCAGGTAACTTCAAAGTTATATAAAAATGTACATTGTTTATAGAGTTGGCCTTGCTAAATAATCTCTCTCCAGGCTGATGAAAACTCTTCTAGTCCAGTGATAGCCAACAAACCAGGGTAGTCAGTGTCCTTCAGACTGGGGTCCCAGATGCTGAATGCACCCACATAGGATCCATATGGCAGCACATATGTGCACTTAAAACACAGAATAGAATTGAGTATTTGTTGCTCCTCTCAGAAAGAATGAGAGTCATCACTGCAATGAAGAGCTAAATCATTGCTTGGGTTAAAACCTTAGGGTAATAAAACCAGGTGAAAAGTGGAGGCTGTATGAATGCAGCAGATTCTGAGTATCTCTGAAAGCCCACAGCAAAGTTATCCACACTTTAAAAAGACAAATTTTGGCTGGATGCAGGTTTGTAGACTGCTTTTCAGCAACCTATGTAGGGACAGAGAAGGACTCACACAAAATGCCATTGTTAATTCTGGTTATAGGTTTGGTGCTGTCCCCCATCACAAAAACACCGGGGAAGAGATCACCCTTCTCCAAGTGCCAGAGCCCTGATCTGCAGGGCACCTTCGATCTCTTAGTGCCACCTGGAGGCTTTCCATCAGCCCTAGCAGGGAAAACCCTTCTTTCACCCAGTTATTGACGCCAGCTGCGTGGTATTGATGGAATCAGTGGTGTTGGAAGTGGAAGGGAATGAGAGGTGGCTTGGATGTGGTGGAGGTGTGAGCAGAACCTGGGACAGGGAGCTTTTGGAGACCCCATTTTTACCTGCAGCTGTGCACGACGAAAATAATGAGATGTGCAGCCTCCCTTGTCACTGGCCTTGTTCTGACAACCTCCCCAGATATTTTGTCATCTTCATTTACGTTGTTCTTGATTTGGAGAAAAACTGCCTCTTTCTCCCTTTCACAGCCTATTCTCACATCAGTAGTAGATTTAACAGCTCCTGATCCATCAGGTGAAGCCAGCAGACAGAATCAAAGAATTGTTCCAGCTGGAAAAGACCTTTAAGATGATCGAGTTCAACCATTAATCCAGCAGTCCCACACATTTACATGTCTACATGTGCCACATTTACATGTCTTTTAAATCCCTTCAAGGCATGGTGACTCCACCAGTGCCCGAGGCAGTCTGTTCTTTCCAGGAAATTCTTTCTTTCTGTTCTTTCCAGGGATTTCCCCTTATCTCCAGTCTGACTTGAGGCTATGTTTTATCACTCCTTACTCTGGAGAAGGGACTGACCCTCACCTGGCTGCAACCTCCTTTCAGTGTAGCTGTAGGGAGCAATAAGGTTCCCCGAGCCTTCTTTCCTCCAGCCCCCTCGAGTGGATCCCATCCAGCCCCACAGACTTGTGAATATCCAAAGGTGTAGCAGGTCACTGATTGCTTCTCCTTGGATTATGGGGGGTTCCTTCTGCTCCCTGTCCCTGTCTTCCAGCTCAGGGGGCTGGGTGACCTGAGAAAACTGGTCCCACTCCAAGGCACTCTCTGGACCAGTTGCAAGTTTTGGTGGGTTCACAAAGGGTATTGATGGTTAATGGAAGAAAAAAGTGCTGGGAGTTACTAAAATAGACAGAACTCTTCTGGATCTAAAGTTCATTGGCTGTAAATTGCTAGAGACTGAAACAAGGTTTGAGGAAGTTTCATGTTAAATTTGCCTTGTTGACCTATACATATGCTATCCTATTTTTTTCTTCTCTAGAAACAAGTGGTCCCCCAACAACTCCTGACCACACGACTAGTAAGTAGAACTTACCAGATTGCTACTTTATATAATAGTGATAGATTTATGTTTTGTCATAGTATTTATTCTCGGGAACAAATTAGTATGATTAAAAAGCTCACATTTTCTTTAGGATGGGGATGGAGATGTACATGAGAAGTAAATTATTTGGGAGGCAGGAATTTGGGGATGGCTTTGCTCTCCAGCAACCAGTCTCCTTGCTAGAAGTAAGATCTTCTATCACTTGTGCCCTTCAGTGGGATCTTAACTCACTGGAGGAAGGGTAGAGAGCACTGACAGCTCCCAAAGACTTGGTCCTAATTCTCTTGTTCTCTGTGTGTTTTTTTCCTGCTTGTTCTCCTCCACAGCTCAAATCATATATGATGGTGAGTCCTTCTGCCAGGGTTCTTGTCACGGCCCTGGGCCCAGGGGTGGGACGTGCCTGCCCCTGCTGCCCCCACCTCTCCATCCCACTGAGAGAGAGCTGAGAAGGGGCAGCCAGCCCCGGGCTGTGCTGCAGGTGGATGCAGACACGCCCAGAGAAGATGTGGGATGTCATTGCCCGGACCCAGAGCACCACCAGCTTGACCAAGGGGTTTGTGTCTCTCAAAGATCTGCAGCTGAGGCTGAGCGGTGGGCCCGACCGGTGTGCAGGCAACGTGGAGATCTACTACTTTGGAGCCTGGGAGAAGGTGTGTGGGTACCTGTGGGACATGCAGGATGCCGAGGTGGTGTGCAGGCAGCTGGGCTGTGGCTCCCCTCTCACAGACACACATTCCTTCCCCTCGAACGACTTCTACCCCTACATGATTACTGAGGTGAACTGTGCGGGCACCGAGCGCTACTTGTGGCACTGCCCCTACACCTACCAGTACCGTGTCTGCCACCATGGAGATGCTTCTGTCATGTGCTCAGGTGGGTGTCTGTGTTTTGGTGGCATTTTCCTGATGAAAAGCTGTCTGGAGTGAGGTGGGATGAAGGCTGTCCAGCCCTTGCTCTGTGCTCAGCAGGGCAGCAGCAGATCATGGGTCCATGTCCCTGATGCAGAGGGTGGTGTTTCAGGGGGAGCATCAATCTCGTATTTGCAGACTGTACCTGGGAAATCTGGGATTTTCTGCACAGAGCAGGGTGTGAGGGGAGGGATAGTTTATAGTCAGGCTAACCTCACCATGAGTCCCTCCATAACTTTCCTTGAAATTAAATACTTGCTCCAAGGGGAGCCAAGCAGACCGAGTGCCTCACACCCTCTGGTTTTCTCCTTCCAGACTCCAGAATAACAGTGCCTCCAACAGGTAACCAGAGATTTCTGTTTATATACAGCTTTTCTAAGGGGTTTTCTTTCTCTGGGATTCTCTGGGATGCTCTGTGCAGGCTGCACTTACAGACCTTGGCTAACATCCCTAACATTGAGGGAGATGTGGGATTGCTTGGGATCCTTTGGGATTGAGCAGCCACTTCTGTGGGAGAGGCTTGGCACTGGTTTTCATGGTGCTGCAGAAAGTGTCCTTGAGCAAGTGTTGGCACTTCAGCCATCTCAGTCCTGCCACATTCCAGTGCTGATTGTGGGCTTTGGCTTTTATTTGGGTTCAACGGGGTTCCCATTGGAGAGGGGGGACTCCCAGCAGGATGATCCTCTTAGGCAGAACACTGCTTGCTCACCTGCTGCTCTCTCCTGCAGCACCAGCTGTCTCCAGATTGATGTTCTCCAGGCCATGGACTACATATGGTAAATCCAGAGGAGCTGTGGGGTTGGACTAGCTTCTGCCCTCAGTTACACATCACAGAATCACAGGACGGTGAGGTTGGAAAGGATCTCTGGAGTACATCTGGTCCTGCCCCTGGCTAAAAGCAGGATCAGCAGGAGCTGGCTTCCCAAGACCATATCCAGAGGGCTCTTGGCTATTTGCCACCTTTGTGGGCAACCTGTGTCTGCCCTCACAGAGAAAAAATGTCTGCTGATGGTCAGAGGAAACCTCCTGTGCTTCAGTTTGTGTCCATAGCCTCTTGTCCCCTCACTGGGCACTGCTGGAAAGAGCCTGGCTTTTAGAGAGGGTTGACTCCCAGCAGATTGTATTTCCTAGGAAAAGTGCTGGGAGTCAACCCTGCTGGTTTCTCCCTGCAGCACCAGGTGCCTCCAGCTCAACTTCCCCTCTGTCACTGACCATATTTAAGTCCAGAGGAGTTAAGGGGTCTGATGATCTCCTTCCCCAGGTGTCCCACTGGACAGCCAGCCCCATGGCTTTGGGTTACTGCATGAGCTGAGCACAACCCGTGCCCTGGGCTGGGGGGATGCAGGGGTGCGGTTTTGGGGTGCCCAGGAGGGAGGGTCCCTATGGGGCTGTGGCACAGCCTCCTTGGTGGGGCCATGCCCTTCCTTCCCTGACGGATTCTGGTGATGGGATAAGAGCCCTCTGCCCGTGCTCAGGCTCTGCTGTTTTCCTCAGAGAACTCCTCCTGTGGTGGCTTACTTCAGGGATTGTCCGGCACCTTCCAGAGCCCGGGGTACCCCAACTCCTACCCTCACAACTCCTACTGCGTGTGGCACATCCGGCTGCAGGACCCGGCCCGCAGGATCCAGCTCCAGTTTACGGACGTGGAGTGAGTCCGGCCGGGCGCTGGCTGTGGGCTCAGGGCCGGCTTCGTCCCCATTGCGGGGCCTCGGCAGCCTCTGCCCGAGCACTGGGGTGAGGTGGGCGTGGGGCCGGGCTGCTGGGCCCCGCAGCTCCTGCAGCCTGTGGTGCAGACACATCCTCCTCTCCCTGCAGGCTGGAGGGCAACAGCTGCTCCTACGATGCCATCGAGGTGTACGACGGAGGGTCCACTCAGAGCTGGCGCCTCGGCCTTGTTTGCAGGGACAACAATAGCGTCTTCAACTCATCCGGGAACCAGCTCACCGTCCTGTTCCGCAGTGACGGCAGCGTCAGCAGGAGAGGCTTCCACGCCTACTACTCATCATTTCTCGACTTCCATACCACCACGGGTAAGACTACAGCTGTCCTTTACTCTTTGCCAGGACAGAAGCTCAAACCCAATCACAAAGAGGTTCTGGCGCCTCTCAACACCTTGTGGGCATGCAGACCCTCTGGACCCACTTAGAGGCATCCTGGCTCAAGGGCATTTTTCAGAACAGGATGGCCATGAAGCTGCTGCCAGACACTGTTTCTTTGCCTGGTGGACAGGAATGGCACTCTCTCCACCTCCCCCAGTGATGCCACTGAGCTGTCATCAATTTTCCTGGCCTATGCTGTAGGCAGAGGAGTTGTTCAGCCCTGGCACACTCATTGCTGCAGAGGCCAAAGGCCTCTCATTTTCCCAAAATAAAGAGAGCTGATGTGCTCAGCCAGAGAGCAGTGAGCCCCTTTTGGCAGCTGTGGAGGAGCAAGGCTCTCTGTCTGCAGCGCCAAGCTCCCTCTGGATGGCAGCAGCACCATCTGCCTGGCTGTCCTCTCCTCCCAGTTTGGTGTCACCAGGAAACATGCAGAGGGTCCACTCTGTGCCACCCTGCTGACCATTAACAGATGAGATCAAGGCTCTGCTGATGGGAGCTGAGCAGAGCACAAGCTGCCTGGGCTGGTGGGTGGAGGGGGAAGGCTTGGAGGTGCAGCCACACAGGATCCTGCCATGTGTCCAGGTAGTGATTGTGGGTCTGGTGTTCCAGTGTCCCTTCATGAGCCCTTCTGCGGACAGGTGACCCCCAGAGGGGCTGCTTCTCTCAGGCAAAATGCTGAGTGTTCACCTGCTGCTCTCTCCCTACAGCTCCCAACAGTACTTCCAACTGGATGACCACTCCGTTAACAACCTCAGGTAGGTTTGAAGGACTTGGGTAAATTTATGAATTGGATATTTATCAGCATTTTTTTTTTTTAAACAAAATTATTTGATTTTTTTTCCCCTCTTCCCTTTGGTCATTAGCAATTGTAATAGGGGTTTCCCCTTTCAAGGAGTAGCTGATCTCCACAATTCCTGCCTCAAAATCTCTGCAAATCTGTGGCAAACATTTGTGTCCTGATAATGCAGGCACTACAGATCAGCATTATAAAATCTACTCAATGTGAGTAGCATCTCCTAACCTTCATTCAGATGTATATGATCCTAATACAGAGGCCACTGAAGCTGATAGAAGTCATTATCTCTGTGATTAGACATAAACTTCACACAGACATACTCCAAACACACCCCTAAATGTGCATACGTATCTTTTTCTTGTATTTTTCTCTGCAGAAGATTATTCTTGTGGTGGCTTGCTTTCCTCTTCATCTGGTACCTTACAGAGCCCATTTTACCCCAGAAATTATCCAAACAATGCCAACTGTGTGTGGGAAATACATGTAAAGAGCAACTTCCGTGTCACACTTGTATTTACAGATATTCAGTAAGTAAGAATTTATTACTTGGGAAGATGAATGTATGGGATTGACAGCTTGGACTTACTAAGCAAATGCCTACTTCATTTCAAGGGTCTTCATCAAAGCTTTTAGTACATCTGGAGATGAAAAATGTGTTCATTTTTGCTTATTTGTTCAAAAATGTGGCTGGCATCTCCCGAGACAGAAATTGGAGGTTGTAGCTTCTGTTCCAAAAATTTGACAGTCATATCAATCAAATGTATCCTTCTGCTAGAGAGAGTTAATCTGACTAAAAAAACCAAACCAACAAGCAAACAAAAACCAAAGAACATAAAAATGAAGCATTAAACTAAATAGCTGTGTTGCTTCCCAGGATGGAAGGTGGCAGATGCCTCTCTGACTATGTGGAAATCTATGATGGGCCCCTTCAGACCTCTCCTGTCCTTGGGAAGATTTGTTCTGGTTATCGCCCCATGTACACATCGTCCTCAAACCTGCTGACCGTCCGCTTCCACAGTAACTCCCGATACACATACAGAGGGTTTCAGGCCAACTATCATTCCACCCCAGCTGATGACAGCACCAGTAAGTTCATCCTTAAAGCACAAACATGCTTTTCAATTACTTTCTGATTCACTGATTGTTAATCTTGTTAATGTTGTTTTAAATTAGATCTGTAGCGTTTTCATGGAGATTCAAGCCCATGGTTTGGATTCTGAACTCTTTCTGCTGTATCAGCTGCAAGAGATAGTGTTTATTTAATCCACTACTTACAACCTTTTTTGGTCACTTCACCAAGCTTGTAATGTATCTTCTTTGCCATCCACTAGCCCTGCTGTGTTTGCCAAACTACATGCACGTGGTTGTGAGCAGATACTTCCTTCAGTCCCATGGCTATTCTGCTTGGAACCTCACCCTGAACGACCCCTTTTGCACACCCAACATCACATCAAATCATGTGTCATTCGACATTCCATACACTCGCTGTGGCACTGTCAGAGAGGTAGGACTGAACGTTTCAACCAAGGGAAAATAATGGGAGGATATCAAAAATTCAAACAGAAGAATTTGCTTTGAAAACACAAATTAAACCTAACTGGGATCTGCAGGGACTGGAAGTGTCCTGGTGATTATGGGTTGTCTCCCTCTCTCCTGAAGGATAAGGTTTATTTGCACTTGCATTTCCTGCCTCTGCTAACAGAGCATTCTCTTAGAGCCCATTATCAATCTCCCAAGGAATAAGCTGTGGAAGGATACAAATACTTGGCATTTTCAAAGTCCCAAGATGAGTGTGATCGTTAAAAAGGTTTCAAAGCTTTTACTCAATCTGACTAATAGTGTTGTAGCCAGATTTCAGCTTAGATAATGAGCTGGAGCTGAACCTTCACGTATTTAATGTTGTACAGGTTGTATTTAGTTCTGTTATGTATGCATTTATTGTGAGTAGTTTTCTAGGACAAAATTGTGGGCACTGAATATCACATGAAGAATATAGATTTTTATCTTGAGAACAGAAATCCCTAGATTCAGATTTTTCCACATCACACTTTCTGGGAAATAATGTTTTTACAATGAACACTGCTGCAAGGATACAGCAAAATTTAGAATGTATAATAGGGTACCTGATTATATGAATTAATTTTGCATTCTTTTTTATGTGCCAAACAGGGAAACAACAACACAATCAGCTATTCCAACATTATTAGAGGGTCCTCTTCTGGCACATTAATCACAAGAACTAGAAATCTTCTCTTGCATGTCAACTGCAAGATGCTCCAGAACGCGTGGGCACAAACGATGTATGTCGCGGACGACAATTTTGAAGTCAATGAAACTCAATATGAGAGATACGATGTAAACCTCACATTTTATGACTCTTCAAGCTTCTCAAGGCCAGTGTATGACTCACCCTACTATGTCAGCATCAACCAGAATTTGTTCCTGGAAGCTTCCTTGCACAGCTCTGACCCAATGCTGGAGTTGTTTCTGGACACTTGTGTGGCATCTCCCACTCGCCACAATTTCACAACAGGATCCTATGCTATAGTCAAGAATGGGTGAGTTCTTATGCATTGCAACTACAGATATAACTGCCTTCAAACTCCTGTATCTCTTATTAATTTTTTTTCATTTAATGGAATAGTGTGAATATAGCACAAAATAATGACAACTTCTAATTAATTAATGGACAAGGGCATTCAGGGTTTACTGGGAAAAAGGGGATGGATTGACCCAAAATACAACACACACAGACATTACAGCCTAAAATAAAATGTAGACTGAATGGCTATGGCCAGTTGACTATTATTATTATTATTATTATTATTATTATTATTATTATTATTATTATTGAAAAGGTACTAGTGACATACCTCAGGTAAGGTTAATTTACCTTCACAGAATCATACAAACACCAGGTATCAGACACACTCCAGGCTGAGGAAAGGCAATGTTGTTCAATTCTGCCAAAAAAATGCATTTTGGTTTTTTCCCACTTGTAGCTTTCTGAACCATTTTCATTGTCATGCCATGTGTTTTACTGTGTATTCATGAGAGGGTTTTTTTTGCTTCTTTTTAGGTGTGTTAAAGACCCTACCTATGCTTCGTATTACTCACCCAGCAGACACACCGTCCGGTTTAAATTCAACGCCTTCCAGTTCATTCAGAGCAACCCAGAGGTTTACCTGCAGTGTGAGCTGGTGGTGTGCAGGGCCTTTGACTATTCTTCCAGGTGCCACCAAGGCTGTGTTCAAAGGTCTAAGAGAGAGGCAAGCTCTGACCTAGAAAGTGTGATTGTTGTTGCTGGCCCAATACAGCTTTGGGAACCTGCAGCTGAGATTAGGAATGAAAATGAGTCTGAATAAAACTGTCTCCTTTGACAGACAGCATCTTTAAATGCTAATTGAATTCTGGAAGAAACTGCTGCCAGATTTCCAGAAGGTGTAGAATAAATGTTAGGAATGTGCTTACTGACTCATGCTTGTTAATCCCACTTCATGTCAGTCATCCCCATATAACAAAAATGCTACCTCGGCAGTTCTATGGGAAATTAAATTTGTGATCTTTAAGCTTTTTGTTCATTGCTTTCTTAATGGTAAAACTGAAATGCTGAAATTGCAGTTTAGGTTCTATAAACAAGTTCTTTTAAAGTTCACCTGAGTCTGGATGTGTTGGAATGCAAGAAATCTGTTAATCTAGAATAATATTTTCCAGCATTTTTTATGTTTTGGACATGAAACAATGAGGGATAAAGCATGACCAGGTCTCTTCATCTCTCCCAGAGCTGAATTCTTGTATCGTGTAGGAAAATATGAATTCAGTTGCTGTTCCATCTGATGTTTCCTGTGACTAGTTTAATTTTTGCTGTCAGCCCCTGGCAGTTCATAGAATCACAGAATATCCTGAGTTAGAAGGGACCCAAAGGGATCATCCAGTCCACTTTTTCACTCTGGGTGGGTTTCTCTTGAAGCAGAAAATGAAGAAAGTAATTCCATATCAGATTATGTGAACCTTGCTAAGCACCTGGTCACCCTGAATAATTCTGTGGATTGGACAATTTCCTTGCAATGAGTAATTTCATTTATGATTCAAGATTAAAATCCAAGCCTGACAGGCTTTCCATGGTGGAGGCTCACTTCATGAAAAGAAGTGGGTTTGACATAATGACTCAACATTGTAGGAAGCCAAAAGACCAGGGAAAGTTTAACAACCCTCAAGTTGGCTGCCACCCTGTAATATTAGGCTATTTAATCATAGTGCATGAACCATAAACTCTTCCTAAGATGGATATCTTGATTCTGCCAGTGAAAAACACGGCCAGATCTGCTGTGAGATCGGCACAGCACAACACCTTATGTCTGTAACACCTCGTGTCTGTCACCCTGAGTGCCATCATGTGGCATGTACAGGGAACCAGCTCTGCTGAGGCACCTCAGATCCTAGGTTCAGTTTTGCTGCAGTGTCATTGAGGTGCTGGAGCATGTCCAGAGAAGGGCAGAGGAGCTGGGGAAGGGTCTGGACCACATGTTTCATAAGGAGTGGGAGCTGGAAATGTGTTCAGAACTTCCCAAGTGAAAAAAATGTTAGATGAGACTTCAATGACTTTCACTTATGGTGTACCTCTGTGATAAAGCAACTGTACCACTGCCAGAGGAAATTTTTCAGTGGAAGGCTCCTGAAAGGGAAGAGGGCTGGGAGATAGCATGGATTGAGGATTGAACTGGATGAAAGTTTAATGACACACAAGGGTTTAATATTTGTGACTTAAGTCAGTGGAGTAGCTAATGGCTTCTGATAACTTTCTGTTATCATGCAACCACAACCTCCAAAATTGCAGCAAAACCCCACATGTCTCTATAATTTCCCTCTCTAATAAATACTGGTGAATGAACAGAAAATATATCAATATCCCCAAAGAGGTACTTGCACTGTCATATTTGCAGGTCTGAAGCTCTCCTCACCATTCCTTAGCTATGTATCATAAGTCTTCTCCAGCTCTATATAAATCCTTCAGTTTAGAGCAAAAAGTGTGGTCTTGATAGTGTTCTTAGTAAATGAAAATTATGATTATTAATAAATGACATCTACTCTCACATTTTCTTTTTTTAAACCCGACTTCCCTGAAGTGCTTGACCAAATCTTATTTGAAAAGGCTTGTACTAGCCTTTATTTCTCTTTCAAGGCTGCTGGTCACTTCAGTAACAGCCCATGTTATTATGATTCTTAGCTCAAGTTTTTGGTTCAAAACTACACCAATCTTGCTACACTGTAGGGTGGCAGCTACAAAGAGAACAATGGAATAAGTCAATGGCTATTGTCTTTTTCTTTTTGAAGGGATGACTCACCCATCCTTATGACAGGGCAGAGTAGATCCATTGTGTTGTATTCATGTGGACCAGGGAACACCAAAGCCAGAGCTGCAGCACAGTGAAATCTTCAAGAAAAGCATATAGGTCAGGGATGAGGATAGGAAATAGCAAGAGATGAGAACTATGAAATTCTAACACAATGCAGAATCTTTTCAGAGCACTTTGAACATTTCTATGGACCTGATCTGTTCTGGGACCATAGTTGTTGAGCTTGAAGTCAGTCTGATATATCTAAATGTCAATGAAAGCCATAAAAACACATTTTATATTCTTTTAAGATGTCTCCACCACCTTTTCCCCTTTGATTTTTTCCATTATATTTAGATAAATAGACCAATACAAAATTCATCTTCTCTAACAAAGAGATGTTTGCTGAAGTGCCTGGCTTAGGCAAGCAAGTTTTGCCAGCTCATTCCATCAGGCTGCAAGCCCTTGGGCAGCCAGTTACTGCAGCCAGTGCCTGCCCATGAATTATGGTGCAGCCAGCTTCTGGGCTCTGCTCTTTACACAAATTCTTGTTTATTTATATAACAGCACACACAGCGTGGAGCCCACTGGGCAGACCTCACCTCTGTCCTTGAATGGTAAAGAACAAAACCTGCTGCTTGGCATGGCATGGCCATGGCTGTGCCAGGCTCTGCACTGTGCAGGAGGGTGTGGCACAGTCTGACTTGGCTTTTGGGAGTTTTCCTGTGTGGAGGCTGAGGTATGTTTGCCCTCAATATGCACCATCATTGTGAAATTTATAAACTGAGAGCTTCACTCGAGCAGTGAGTATTTCAGCAAACAACTTCAGGATGGATTTCGAGAAGTGTGTTGGAGACCTGATCATGCAGAGGTTAAGGTTAACACACCACTTAACTGCCCCAGTGATTTAAAAAGAATTTGGGAGACTAGTCATAGTAGAAAAGTTATGCACATAACTTATTTAAACATTTGCTAATTCAAATATTTAATTTTAATGGTTTCTCTTGGCTCACAGTTAAATGTCAATGCATATTGTCATCATTCAATATTTAACACAGCAATATATGTGTGAAACTGGTTTCATTTACTGTGGCAAAATTAGCTAACTTCCTTGTCTATGAATTGTTAAAGAATGCCTTGTAATGTGGGGGGTAAGGTGTATTTACAGTTGTCATTGCCCACTCATTCAAAAGAAAATAAGTAGTAAATACTGCTGCCTCAGATGATCAGACGTAGAGCATCCCTCACACCATAAAAAGCACACTGGCAGAAATTATCTGCCCAGTTAGGTGGGGGAAAAAGCAAAATATGAAAGGACATGGCACATAGTACACTTTGTTCTCTGTCTAGCTCCATGTGTGATTCAGAGAAAATGAAACATGCAGCTCAGAAAAATAGATTGTGTTGCACTGAGTACTGTACTGCAGATAGGAAAAAAATTCTCTTCATCATTGGTAATTTTTGCTTTGGTGCAGATTTTAATTATTAAAGCTGCACATTCTTAAGATAAACTTGATGCTTGTAGATTTTTGATTAGTGCAAGGAAGAGTGCAAGTTTAAAGATTTATGATAGGCACAAACAAAAAATCTACTTTAAATGATAAATCAAGGCATACTTTTTTTATACAAAAGGTATAAATTATCAGGGCCTTGATCAGAGAAAATGTAAAACCAGTAAACCTGGATTTTTGATTATGGTTTTTTGGTTTTTTTTTCTGGTTTTTAAGCTTTGAAAGAAAAAATTCTTAGAAAAGACAAATCACGGAGCAGCACACGTAGACATCTGCTGTCCAGGGAATTTCTGGGAAGACTTTGCACAAGCTGGGCTGAGTGGGAAAATTATCACAACCACTCCCAGCTAGAAATGTAGACTTACATGTTTGGGAATCAAGACTTTTAGTGCAGCTGTCTTCTTTAGGATAAAGAATATTACATAAATTTAAAGTGGTTTTCCTTTCCCTTAGGACCACAGGTGTTTCTCTGCACATAAATAGGCTTGAAACACAATTACTGTGACACATGGTACCACAGTCACATCACAAAAAGGAATTCTTACTCCATTAGCTTTTGAATGTCCTTAAACACTATACACACAGAAATGTAGTAATATTTTTTTCTTTTGATCCACTAACATTCCAAGTAAATACAGTTTATTATTTTAAAACTAGTTTAATTCAGTTTTTTCTGTGTTTAACCAGAAAGAAAATTGCTTTAAGATAATTTCTTTTTAATTTTGATAATTTCTGGGAGATATATAGGATGAGCAAAAATCCTTGACAAAGGTGTAATATTGTGGCCAAAGAATTAGTTTCAAATACATTTTCAAAGCTCATGGGTTATTGAAAGGCTTCAGAAACACATAATTCTTATCAAGCTGTGAGAACAAAGGAAGAAATAATGAGGCTGGCTAAAGGCAGACATAGAAACACATTCTTGAAAAGAGCCAGAATGGGTAAAACCATTTAGACAAAATGGTGTATATAAGGTCAGTTTTAGCTTTCTGGAGAAGGACTTTGATGTTTATCAGTTTGTACCAGCTTTAGAATGTCATAAAAGTTGAGCAAGACATTATAAATGGATTGGTGTTGAGAGGTAATTACTGTGAAACTTCTAAATAACTGATTTCTTTTCTGTTTCTTGCTTTGAAAAGATCTTCCTCACAGATAGAAATGCATATTGCTTTCCTCTGTACTTCCCCTAGGTTTAGAAGTACATCATAAAGCACCCAGCAGCAGCACAACACCTCTGATGGATTCTCTCTTTTGAGCACCAGTGGCTTTTCCTGCATTTAGGCATTTCTGCACATGAAGAGCTGACTTTCCTTGAGCCATTCCCTTTGGCAAGTGGCAGCATCATTTCCTTCCTGCTGGTCCTTCTGGCTTAAAGGCAAGGTCAGGGCAAGAAGGTGAACAAATGGTAACACTGGAGAGAGTTGGAAGTCCAGGAGCCAAGCTGCTTTCTGTGTTCCCACCTTCTCTGTCAGTAACCATTTGCCTCAGACTCCCCCAGATCTGGTGCTTTTTCTCTCA